GTTTAGGTTGTCATGAACTAGTTGTTAGGTGGCCCATAGAGATAGGTTCCCTCCATCTAAGGCTGAAGGCAAGCATGGTTGAGGCTAGCAACTAGGGCTCTTTGTTTACGTCATCGAGGAGTGTGACCTAAGAGTTGTGATTGATACTTGTCTTCGTGGTTTTCAGATGTCTAACAGTAGGGTTCCTTTTGACGAGGATCGTGAATATGCAGAAGGCGATGTGTCTACTCCATACTGGCACACTGAGTTTGAATGACTCTATGCTTAGGGCGAGTAGTACTTACATGACCTTCGCTTTCCCCAATGGGCTATTTTCCTGGTTGTCTCCCTGGATCATTCTATCCTCTAGTCTCATGCTCTTGAGTGGTGCTTGGTCTTTGCTAATTGTGGTGATATTCGCTTCTTATTGCTAAAGAACCTGAGCAATCATCAGCAGAAACATTCTCCCAGCTAGGTGTGGGCTCAATGAAGTGTAGCTGGTTGAGGGATGGGTTGTGTTGTTGCACATTTTCAATCCAACCATATCCTACTGGAGGCCCTACACCACATTAGTGAGTGAGCGTAACATATCAATTATTTGGACATTTTCAGGGATGGAAGCTCCTGCGCCCTATGGATTTGTGGGTTGTTGGTAGTGGTGGAAAAATAACATGCCCAGCCCGGCCCATGGCAGGTTATGGGGTTTGGCGGGCCGAGCCCGCCAACAAGGGCGAGTCAGGTTAGGCCCGCCTCTTGGCTAGAATGGCTAGCCCAGCCCGGCCCGCCAACCCTAACCCGACGGGTTATGCTGCGGACCAGGCCAGGTTAGCCCATAATTTTTTTTTTTTTTTCTTTTGTGTAATTGTTTTTAGTTAACTTTTCAAATATCAATAATTCAATTAAATTAAAAAAAAAAAATTGTTAACATTTCAAATATTAATTCAATTTTAATACAATAAAATTGTAATATAAGAAAAATTAGATTTATTCATTTATCAAAAAAATAAAATAAGAAATTACAATAATTATTGCCTCGTTAAAAACCTTACCAAGAAAAACCCAATGGGACAAAAACTTGGTCAAGAAAAAAAGTGCAATAATTGACAATTAATTTACAAAACAACTAATTTGGGGGTTGACTAGGACCTCCCTCATCCGTATCATCTATATAACAAAATTGAAATGATTCTATTAAAGTATCGTCGACAACCTCGTATTGATCTTGATAGGGCGACAGTTCCCAATCTCGAAGACATGTGGGGAATTCAATCACTTTTTGTGAAAGTTTAGTCCTCCTTTCATTTAAAATTCTTCCACATGCACTAAATGTTTGTTCGGATGAGACGGTTGAGATAGGAACAGCGAAAACATCCAAGGCAAGTCTTGATAATACCGAAAAAATACATTTTCTAGTTTTCCAATATTCTAAGATGTCAAAGTTAGCTCTTTGTCATGGATCTGCTGGTAACACTTAGGGAGTTCCCAAATATTGGTAAAGCTCATTACTCTGTGATATATTCATTGTTGGTGATTCTGAAGAGGAGATTGTGCTTTGGGTTCGGGTCCTATTCGGCCTATTAAGTGCACTCCAGGAGTCGAAGTCTTCATTTGTTTCTTCTGATGCAACTTCTTCGGGTATTTCGCCTCTTGGCTAGATCCCATACTTGTTTTCATATTGCAAATATATCTCTGCAAGACACTCTCTTACCTCTCCTAGTTGATTGGCATATGCTTCATTTTGTAAATTTTCAGTTAATGTGTCTAAACCATTTTCTAAACCTGCTACTTTAATTCTAGGATCAAATATAACACCTAAACAATAAAGAAAATGAATGGGTTTCCAATATTTTTTAAAAAAAAATTCCATTGCCTTTATTGGTCCCGCTAAAATTTTATTATTTCTGTTTTTTCTAAATAAATCTGAAATTTTTATAATTGTATCTATTACCAATAGACTAGTAGGATAATACACACCAAAAAGTTGTAAAGTGGATTGGTAAAAAATTCTAAGAAAAGAATAAAATTTTTTAGCTATATGCCAATCATTTTCTACCAAATGATGAGGACCTCTATTATTTGCTACAAAATAACTAATTAAATTTGCATAAGGTAAACATGAATCAAGCATTAAATAAGTATTATTTCATCTAACAGGCATATCTAATGCAAAAGTTCTAGGAGACATATTTGATTTTATAAAAGCATCTTGAAATTGAGCATTTCTTTTATTACTAATAATAATCCAAGCTAAAGAATCCCTAATTCTCTCAATATTATCTCTAATTGTTTTCATACCGCTTTTCACAATTAAATTAATAATGTGACATGCACAGTGTTGTTGAAAAAACTTCAAATTGTCATAAAAAGAATAATTAATTTTTTTTTAAAAATCTATAGATGTGCTATTAGCACTTGCATTATCTAAAGTTAAACTTATCACTTTATTAATAACATCATAATCTTCTAAAACTTCAATAATTTTATTATAAATTTGCTGACCACTATGATCCATATCCATTAATCTAAATCTCAATAGAGATTTATTTAATTTACATTCGTTATCAAAATAATAACTAATCATAAAAATATAATATTGTTTAGCTCTACCACTCCAAATATCGGCGGTTAGAGACACACTAACATGACAAGTATGTATTTTATTTTTTAATTCTAATTTCATTTTCCCAAACAATTTTATTAAATCATTTCTAGTTGCAGTTTAAAATAACTTTTAAATCCTAGAAAAAATGAATTTTTAATAAATCTTTCAAAATATTATCTTTAGCCATATTAATAGGTTGATCAGTTGCAACAATATATAAAGCTAATTGTTCTCTATATACATCAGAATTATAACGCCAAGTAGTACCCCTATTAGTTATTTGAGTTTGATTGGTTTCTCTATTTCCATGTTGAGTAATATGTTCATTAGCATGCCTTTTTAAAGTAATAGTACCATTACCTAAATCAGCTTTATAAATATTTCTACAATACTTGCATCTTGCTTTCTTCACTTGAACTCCATTTTCTGTCTCGTAAAACTTATCGAAATGCACCCAAACGTCTTATGTGTGTGTAGACGTAAAAATCTACCCGTACGGAAGGGGGGTCTGATCCCGTGAGGTTGAGGCCACTAGCGATCTGCTGTACCTGCACACGTAGAGAAACACGCGTGAAGCGAACGGGAAACACCGGGGTGGTGTTTGCCGTAGGCACTCCGACGCTCAAGTCAACAAGGCTGAAAGGCTAATATAGTGAGGGCTATAGGGAGTGAGAAATTACCGGGAGTCTAGTCAGGGACTGTGACTACGGCGGTGAAGCGAAGCTCTCAAGTAAGAGCTTAGGGTGTGAAGGTGTAATGTTCATGTCCCTTGTGAGAGGGCTGGCCTCTGCTTATATAATCACTGTCTGGTCTCCCAATCCTGGTAGAAATAGGAGTCCTAGTATGACTCTAATGCAAACCCTAGACGAATTAGGGCCGTGGTGAGCTATCTTACCAGTGTCCGAATAGGAAGGTGATTCTGATTAGGAGAGTAACTTCGAACAGGAAAGTGATCAGGAATGGGAAGTATTCTGAGGAGATCGTGGGCTCTATACTCACCCATGGACTTGGGAAATGGGCTGGGATTAGGAGGCTCGTGCCCACGTGGTCTGGGCCGGCTACACATTGTACCAAATGGGCCTAACCCGATAGGGTCATATCGGAATTGGGCTTGGCTTCTTCTTCAGCGTCGTGCCCATTTTCTTATTTGGGCTAAGGACGATTTTTTGCCCTAACAGTGTGTTTGTTGTCAATTTCGATAGCAGTTGATGAACCCGTTTCTGCTTGAGATGAAGTGGGACGAGGACGACGATTATGAGGACGACTTCTAGAACCACCGGGAGTTGTAGCAGCATGGGGAGGAATGGGGGGAATATTTTGAGGTGTATAGGATTCTGAGACTAGGAAAGCGGGACTATTTGAATCTACTGCATTTATGTTAGTAAATTCAGGGAGACTATGATAGTTTCCTTCATCATCGAAATTGATAGGATGGAAATATCTCTATCCATTGTAGTTAAACAAAAAATTGATATAGAAGAAATAAAAAATTAAAGAAGGAGAATTGGAATTTAGAAATATGAATTGAAAATTGTAAAAACTAATAAAAATTAAAATGAGAGCAAATTGACAACAAAGAGAATAACTGAGAGATTTCAATAAAGATTAGAGAAAATGAGAGAATGTGAGAAAATATGAGACTTTAAGCCCTATTTATAGAGAAAAAAGGGGAAAAGAAAATGACGAGAAAGACCCCTCCAACGGCTATATTTCAAGGGTAAAATGGGTATTTGCAAAAAAAAAAAAAAAAAAAATTATTTTTTTTAATTTTTTTGGTCCAACCTGACGGGTTGACTGTTAGCTTGCAACGGCCAACCTGTCGGGTTGACAATTCCCAACCCACCGGGTTGGCAGTATTTTTTTTTTTTTTTTTTTTTTTAAAAGTAACCTGTCGGGTCGCTGGGAAGGCGGGCCGGATTGAACCCTCCTTAATGCAGGCTGGGTTAGGGTTGATCGGCCTAACCCAGCCCATTTATTCCACCTCTAGTTGTTGGGATGGCACTAGCGGTAGTTGGTTCTACACATGCACCTGGTTGACCTCCTGCTGGCTAGTTTCTACATTATCATTATTGTCGATAACCGTCCTGGAGGCTCTGGTATGGGCCATATCTGTTGGATGGTTGTTAAGATTAGATTGATTGTTGGAGATCCTAGATCAAAGGGTAAACGGAGTGTTCAAGCCTCTCCTTCTAGCACCAAAATGTTGTTATAAAAATCCGTATCAATCAAAGAAACTAAATCGACTTTTTTAGGATTAGATTGGATGTAAGCGTGATTAATAAAAATTAGCAAAGATTCTAACTAAAAAAATGCAAATGATTTTTAAAGTGATTCGGCAAGTTCAATCTTGAATTTACGTCCACTGTTATTCTTATTAATGTATTGAAGTACAATAATAAGTTCTTTTTTCTCTTCTCTCTCTTGAATTGCTAACCCCTTACACCGAGTCTTTTGGGCTATTTAGAGTACATGTTTGATAAGGGTAATATGCAAAATTTTAGGGATAATTTCATGGATAGAGGCATGGCCTATTTGGAAGCTAATCCCATGATTGGAAGTTAATCCCATGATCATAGGAATTACACTGAAAATGGTATTGCTTGATTCGGTGGCGTGATCTCCTCCTTGATTCTAGGAGATTTAGCTTATCCCCATCATTGAGTACAACTGTCTTGCTCGCTCGCTTTCCCTGAACTCACCTGGTGACAAGCTCGCTGATCGCTCTGAGGAGTGAGCTCGCTCTGCGCTATTACTTGCTGCAAGCTGACCTGACATACCGCACAACACAACTTATAGAAGAGAAAAGGCACAAATGCATGTTGTGCCAATATAAAATTTTGGGTTCTGTCTTGCTAGCTTCACGTGTGATTCATTTTCCAGCTCATGTTTTGACACGGTGCTTTAAGTGAAGTGGGGAAAGATGATTAGAAGGTGGCTGGGGACTGTGGACGTGAAGAGCTAAACACTCAGTTCCTTGGCTTTTCCTTAATTGCTTCAACATGTTCCAATATCTCCACAACTTCTTCCATGGAGGGGCGGAGTTTAGGATGTGCCTTTAGGCACTTTAGAGCAAGCTGTGCTGCCTCTTGTGCTGCCTTAGTTGAGTATTGGCCCTCTATCCGTGCATCCATTATGTTTTTCAGATTCTTTTCCTGAGAGAGCATTGGCTTCATCCACACAACCAGACTTCGCTCTTCACTGGGGCGTTTTGTATCAAATGCCCTTAAACCCGTCAACATTTCAAGCAGCACAACTCCAAAGCCATATACATCACTCTTCACATACAAATGACCTGTTGCATGATGATGAAATCCAAAATTAATCAATTTATTTAACCAAAAAGAGTTAGATTCTTCCTAATTTGTCACAAGTAACTCGAATGGTCCACTTAAACAACTGAAACAAACATAAATATCCAAAATTCTTAAACATGTATCTTGAACAGTGTATAATATTTCCAAATTCTATAGAGATATAATTACCTGTTGCAACGTATTCTGGAGCAGTATAACCAATGGTGCCTACAACCCTCGTTGTGACATGGGACTCTCCACCAGCAGGCCCCAATTTTGCCAACCCAAAATCTGATATTTTGGCATTGTAGTACTGTTAAAGAAAACAACACAAGCAAAGAACACCCAATGTTGTTAGAATAATTAAATAAGGAAAGATTATCTAATGAATGCATGCATATATTCTGTAAAGCAACAGATCATTGATTCTTTTCCAAGATAAAATAAAAAAATAAAAAAGGGACCCGGGGGGGGGGGGGGAGGAGAGGAGGGGGAAAGAGAAAGAAATCTAGAATTGAAACTGCCATATCATCCTCAAATATCTATCATATTTCAAATTAGATTTCACTGATTCTATGTTTTTACTTTTAACACTAAAACAGATTTAGATAAAACCAACCCTATCAAGCAGTATATTTGAGGCCTTGAAGTCTCGGTGAATGACTTTCTTCTCTGAGGTATGTAGAAAAGCCAGTCCTCGAGCTGCTCCAATGGCAATTTTAAGGCGAATATCCCAAGATAGTGGTTTGATGGAGGGATTTTCTGCACAACAAAGCAATCCAACAATCAATACCAAAATCCATGAATGCACATTTTTTTTTTCTTTTTTTGGCTAACTTTGTGTTTAATTTGCTTGACTTCTTACTTCTGAAAAGATGATTATCCAAACTTCCCTTCTGCATGTACTCATACACAAGGAGCAGCTCTTTATCCTCCCAACAGTATCCCAATAGCTTGACAAGGTTGGGATGAGAAAGTCTTCCCAGAAGGTTAATCTCTGACTGCATAAAAGAAAATTAATTACATTATCATCAAATTGAGGAGCACATTTAGAACATGTTATTCAAAGAAAGCTTCTTAAACCAATTTTTATGTCCAATCAAGTTTGGAGAGTGTCACTGGCCTTGCATTATACAGATCAATTAAAGGCAGCAAATATTCTTAAAAGTAATTAACATTAAGCAAACACATCTCACAAATATCAGCCTTGGAATTTTAGCAATGCAGCCAAGTCATGCTTTGTGGGACCAGCAACCTTTATCTAAAGCCCAATCACAGTGGGAAATGATTGAAGGTTGTTGCCAACGATAACAGCACCTCTTTTTTTTCTTTTCTTTTCTCTACTTTGAATTCTTTCTGAAATTCTTCAAAATTCTACATGTGGGTGATTAAAAAAAAAAAAAAAAAAAACAGTGGGAAATGATTGAAGGTTGTTGCCAACGATAACAGCACCTCTTTTTTTTCTTTTCTTTTCTCTACTTTGAATTCTTTCTGAAATTCTTCAAAATTCTACATGTGGGTGATTAAAAAAAAAAAAAAAAAAAATTTAAAAAGTTAAGATGAATACCTGCCATTCTGGATACCCTTGCATACTTTCTGGATTGAATTTCTTAATGGCAACCATCATTCCAATACCACTTTTAAAAGGAGCTAATGTCTTCTCATCTATCCAACCTTTGAAAATTTTCCCAAAACCACCTTCCCCTAACAAAGTATCACACTTGAAGTTCTTAGCTGCAACCTTCAATTCTGCAAAACTGAACACTTTCAAGTTTGGTGTCTCCAAAATTTGCCCATTTGCACTTGCCTCCTCTCCACCTTCACTAACAGCCTCGGAAAATTGACTTTTGCCTGCACTACCACTAGTGGCTGATATCTCTGTAGTGTGGCTATAATTATTTGACAGACCTAACAGAATTCCAAAAAGACTGAGTTAATAAATCATTCCATCAAAGAATAAATAAAAACTCAAACCAATCTAACTAAACAAAACTATAATTTTAAGATATTCAATCATAAATTCAACAACCTGGGGTTGTAGGATTGTTGATGGAGGTGTTACTAGGAGTAGTAGGATTAGCCTCTTTGGAAAAAGATCCCCAGCAATTACCCATGTCAAACTAGAGCTGCTTTTCAAAGATATTTGAAGAGCAAAAGCAGCATAATTTAGAGAGAATTTGTGTGTTGTGTTGTGTCGTAATATAAGGTTGAGGTCAAAGCTTGGAAAGATCAGCCAAAGAGGCTAAGAGGAAAAGTATAAAAATAGAAAGTTGATTTTAAAGCCTTCTTGTTGGACAATAGACTACAGTACTTCTTGTTCAGACACTTAATTTCCTGGAGTTTACCATGAACCCGCTTTCCTGTTTCATAATTTGTCCTGTCTTGTGTTCTCTTGTCCAATTTTTATACACAAAATGTTAACAACTAAAACCTTTTGCGTTTAAAGACCAACGAATTTCCTGTAGCAGTCAACTGCCGTGTCTCTCGGAGCTTTTAAATGTGTCCTTGTCACCTTGTGAACATTAAGCATAGAGCCTTGAATATTATTCAACTAATCCATTATTTATTTACTCCTTTCATTAATAAAACATATGAAAATTTCTAAGCTTTGAGTTTCATGGACGAAAACCAAAAACAAAACTGTTAAAAATGAAGAATCTTTTTGTGAAACTTAAAACAAACAACACTACGTTGTAATTCTGAAGGAATTTTTATAAACTAATATGGAACCCATTAGTTTATTTTGATTCATGGTTCCAATCTTTGTCAAACAGCATGCTAGATGAAGGGCAATTTCAAAGCTAGAGACCTGATTGACAGCTCTTGATGATGGTTACCTGCCATTAAACAAATAAATAATTTTCTTTGTATAGTTTAATGGAGGAGAGAAGGAGATGGGATCTACTAAATTGAAGAAAGTCAAACAACCGTGGCTCCTTCACAGGTTCAATGGAAACGTGATTAGCAAGTGCAAAATGTTGCTGACTCTGAGCCTGAGTTAAGCAGTTGCATGGCAACTTCAAACTCAGTACATTAATGTCAAATTTTTCTGGGTTTACATTTGCATTAGTCAGAGGCTTCGTTTGAGCTTTCTCGTGGAAGATTTTCTCCTTACTTATCAGCACCATGGAAGCTTCCCGTTCCTGTTTTAGAAGTAAAACTTGTAGAGGGTTGACATTGAAAATGTTATATAACTCTTTTGTAGCGTATTGAAATAGATTAGAAAGTGTAGGAACATAAGATCCTTTCAATATTCTCTGAAATCTCTTTCTATTTTCCTACATTTTCCCACATGGTTACAAATCACTTCAAATCTAAGGAAATCAATAAAGATCCTTTTGTATCTTTTTGGTTTGAATATACATTCTATATTCAATAAGGCTGACATTGGATCCGTGGAATAATGGTCAATTTAATTAATTTCTTAATCGCTACTGGGTTGACTTGAAAATGTTAAATGCCAACATTAAGGAACTATTTTGATAGATAAATTGAGAACCCACAACTTGAAGTTGAGATAAGATCTGTAATTTGACACAAAATATTAAAGATCTCAACTGTATCATATGAAAATATCAGTATATTAAGTGGGAATGTGCTATTATTTACTTAAATGTAGACTGGAAATGGTTAAATAAAGCTTCACATGGTGTCATGGGTTATAAGTTTCACACCCAAAAGACTAATTAATTAATTGAATGGACTCTCTCCTTATAAGTCCAAGATCTCTCCAATGCACTTTCAATGTGGGATAATGACATTCTCCTCTACGTAATCTTGTGATGCTAGTGAGGCCCCTTACCTATTCGTCTATCTCACTCTCGAGTGAATCCATTATCACACATGGAGATTGGGTCTGTTTTGATACCATTGCCACAGATTGAAAGTTTTACATACAAAAGGCTAACTCATTAGATGGAAGAACTCCCCCCTTATAAGTCCAAGATCTTTTCAATGTGCTTCTAATATAAGATCTGTGACAATGGACAACCCAGTTCATTTGGGTTAACCAAAATAATATAAAATGAGAAAACTAATTCTACCATAGACTGAATAGCTGGCAATCTCATTTGGGTGGATTGTGTAATAATAAAGATATTGACCCTTCCACCAGTCTATTAAATGCTTCTAAGAAATGAAACCAAATTGTGCACCTCAAGTTGACCTTTATAATGTATAATTCAAAATGGTGCTCCTTCCATTTTGTCCTAACAAGCACCAATTTATAGAAGTCTTGCCTACTTATTGACTTCAACAAAAGAGCAAAAAGGGTTTCGAAACAGCTGTTGAGGGTCCCAACTCCCAAGTCACCACGCTGAGATAAAAGAAGACCAGCAGAAGCAAGTGAAAGAAGCATTCATACTTGGAAGAGAACTGCACAGCACCATTCTGTAAATATACTAGCAGTTTTCATGATGTCACATGATTCTTCTAAAATTGGGTAGATCCGCAGATATGTTAATGGACATAATTTATGCGCATGAATGTGATCCACGTTTAGCTGGAGAGAAACACTTAGACCAGGCTCAACCAAACTGCTGCTCAACCCTGAATGTGTTTCTGGCAGATTAAACCACCATTGATGACTAAAATTGAAGTATATGGGGCTCTAAAACATATAATCTCATTGATATGGAATCAACTCACAGAACAATTCCAAAAATCCAGCTAGAAGCGCGATACAAGCCATATAATTTACCAATAGGTGAAGATTTGTACATATGGGAAATTTCGGTAATCATACATGTCCTAAAAATGACAAGTTCTTCATCCTCTAATCTACGTCTTTTCACAGTTAATGTTGACTGAGAGAGACTGCGACTGGTCCTGCTTTTTTAGAAGTCTAGCTTTGTGCCTTCTCTTGAAAATGTCTTGCCTGAATTTCTTGGTTTCACTTTGTATCTCCATGAAGGGTTACCTCTCTATGCTTTCCTTTTCTTACTCCAACATTTGCCGCCTCTTTGCAACTGCCATGGCTGCAGCCTGATCCTCTTGCTGATGTCGTCCCGCCTCCTGCATACATTTGTCAGTAAACAAGCATGACTATAAATTTGACACCGGTATGAAAATTCTCTTTAAGCAGGCATTTCTGAGTTAGATATGTATGCATATGCTATCAATTGGTATACTGCAGTGCATGGCATTCAACAGTTTAGAGGTCTTAAAAAAATTACAATATGATTCAGCAGCTGGAATATCAGCTATATCAATTTGCTACGCTGAAACTTCGATATGGTTACAATAAAAATCATCTAGTCAATCTAACAATAATGCTAGGGACACCGAAAATTTTACACCGAAAATGTGTACCGGCCTACGTGTAACACGCATCTGTTTTGTTTAACAATTTTTTTCTAGTGAACGGCCGTCCATTCAATTTGGACGGTCGTTCACTCACATGGACGCCCGTCCATATTATATGGACGGGGCGTCCATATACAAGGGACGGGCGTCCCCATTTAAAGGACGCCCGTCCATAAATAAAATATGAAAATAAAAATAAAAAACTTTGGGGACGGCCGTCCAAAATTTATGGACGGCCGTCCCATTATATTTGGACGGGCGTCCATTAGGAATGGACGCCCGTCCATACTTAAAAAAAAAAAAAAAAAAATTTTGGAGAGCGTCCATTAGGAATGAGCCCGCCTTCCATACTTAAAAAAAAAAAAAAAATATTTCGTCTTCTTCCTCATTCCCCAGCGCCTATGTTCTCATGTACCCACATAAATTGCATCAAAATTTCATACCTTAGAATTCGTCTTCTTCCTCTTCATTCCCCAGCGCCTATGTTCTCATGTACCCACATAAATTGCATCAAAATTTCATACCTTAGAAAGCACCTTTCCAAGATACTCAGAACCCATCCTGTTACTAAGATGCCTGTATTCTGGGTGTTTGCAAGTACTCCCGCTCTCTACGTCAAGCAGTAATCATATCAACACTTTGTTGATATCAGCTTGAGAGCAATTACTACGCCAATCCAAAGATCTGTAGCTTATATGATCTTCCTTCAAGGATCTGAAATCCCACTAATAGGAGCAAGTCCTAAATTTGCAGAATTTGATACGATTTCAAAAGACAAGAAATGAAAACCACAGTGCCACAGTGGAATGTGTTCTTTTCACCTTAGTTTTACAACAAAATTTCTTGTACAACAAATGTTCAGACGAAGAACTAACAGGAGAATGAGCTGGAAATGAAGAGGAAGAAGACGAATTTTTTTTTTTTAAAGTATGGACGGCGTCCATTCTAATGGACGCCCGTCCAAACGTTTTTTTTTGTTTTTTTTTAAGTATGGACGGGTGGACGCCCGTCCAAACATAAGGGACGGCCGTCCAAAATTTATGGACGGCCGTCCCCAAAGTTTTTTTTTTTTTATTTTCATATTTTATTTATGGACGGGCGTCCTTTAAATGGGGACGCCCGTCCATATAATATGGACGGGCGTCCATGTGAGTGAACGACCGTCCAAATTAAATGGACGGCCGTTCATTAGAAAAAAATTATTAAACAAAACAGATGCGTGTTACACATAGGTCGGTACATATTTTCGGTGTAAAATTTTTGGTGTCCCTAACATTATTGGTCAATCTAAAGGTAGTTTGGATAATCGTGGGGCATGTATGATGTATCGCATTTAAAAGTCCATTAAAATCCCTTTTTCAAAATGCAAAAGTGTAAGAAGCATATTAATTGAGTCAAGTCGAAAAGATATCATATGAAGGATAATTTAAACAACAATGGGAAAGAACAGAAAAAGACCTGGAGCTCATTAATTAGACCATCAAGGGATTTGATCTTCCTATGTGGCCAACAGGGAATACCAAATTCTCAGCACTTCTTCTTTAAAACCGTGAGGCCAACTTTCAAGTTTCTCGAAGCTTCTAGAATTGGAAGATCGAAGTATTTAACGAGATCTTCCAAAGCAATTCTAGCAATATCTTCAGAGGCTGCCCTGAAACTTTTTACCACATCTGTACAAAATCATACTTATAGAATAAAAACTTGAAAGTACCCAAGTACAACTCTTTAACAGTTATTAGAACTAGCAACACTACTATCTGCCAACAATTAAAAGAGCAACTAGCTTATTCATCAAACAAAACCAAGTAATTGATATGATTATAAAGAAAAAGCAGTTGGCTAACAAGAAACCTTTGGGAAAGACCTGATGCACATTCTTCGGTTTCTTGACTCCCAGAATATTCGCTGGTTGTAGCTGAATTAGGAAGAGAAATAAGATCCTGATCAAATTCATGGGTACTTCTTTGAGACAGATGGCAATGCTCTTGGTTTGTTTCATCCATTGCCTGCCATGTAAACTGTGACAACTCCTGATCTCCTGTTCTGC